CTCTTTGATATATGATCACTTCCTCAGTCCAGTTCCTTGCAGATGTGTTGGATTGCAGCACCCAGCATCCCCAGGTGACTGGCAGTGGATGGGAATTGTAGGCCAAAGCTTCTGGGTTGGGGACACCTGCAGTAACCATTTCTCTACAATATGGTGACACTTTCCTTTCCTTTATCATCAGGTTTTTCTCTCCATGAAACAGCTATGCTCTCCCAGCGTGACCTTGGTGAAGATCCATGGATTCCAGATTTTCCATCTGAGGAGGAGTGTCCATTGAACAGTGGAGTAGGTGAGAGATCAAATAAACTAACAGAGACAGAGAGAACACTTTTCTTCTTGGGCAAAGCTCTCAGCCTGCTCTGAGACAGAACCTTGCCTTCATCCCAGCGAATCATTTCCTGCTTTTGATCACTTTTCTTTTTCCTCTGGCCAGAGTTTCCTGATGTGATCATAAAGGTTGAACAAGACGATGAGTCATGGCCGCCCGTAAAATCAGAGCAAGAAGAGAAGCCCTTGAGCCCGCCTCTCCCCGAAGGAGAAACCTTACCAGGAACCCCTTCAGGTGAGGAGAGGACTTGCCTCCATCTCACCTCTCAGTCAAATGCTTCTTCCTGAAGCCACCCAGGGCATTAGCTTTTGATCTACCTGTCTGGTCACCAAGGCCATCTCCTGGAAATATCAAGCGCCTCCTCAAGAGCTTCCGATGGTCACGGGTACCATTTCCATGGGTTCAGCTGAGCTCCTTTGGTATATCTGAAAAAGGGACAAGCCTCACGAGGCTTGGTTTTCATTGAGGTAGCTGTTTGTTTCTCAGCTGTACTACTTGAACTGGATGAAAAATAAATACGCTTAATTTAAAAAAATAAATAAATTCAAAACCTTGTCAGGTTTTGCTTTGGCTTTGGCAATGCTTCACAGTTTCTGGGGATACTCTCAAAAAGCATCCCACACTTTGGGGCATCCAAAAGATGTCCCGAATGCTCAGGCTACAGCAAAAGGCTACAGCTGGGTGGTATGGCCTAGCAGACCATACTACTACAATTGCCAGAGATCCTGGGAACAAATCGAGAGGCAGGAAATGGAAGAAAAGCAGCCAGCTGTGTAGGGAAGGAGCTGTGCAAAGCCAGGAAACAGAACCTCTTTGAGTCCAAGGGCTAGTTCCACTTCAGAGAAGCTGGGTGTGGGGCCCAGAAGGCCAAAGAGAGTGTGGTCAGAATCCAAGAGGAGGAACCCCAATACCAAAGGACCAGAATATTTTAGATGGAAAACACTTAATGCTTTAGGAGAGGCATTTTCAACTTTTTGAGTTGCATGTGGCTACATGTGGTTGAGTTGTCGCTGATTTATGGCAGTCCTATCAATGAGCACCCCCCAAAATGCACCGTCCCCCAGAGCCCTGCTCAGCCCTTGCAAACTCAAGGCTTCCTCAGAGTTGCTCTTCCCCTTCTTCTCCCTCCGACTTTCTCTAGCATGGCTGTCTTCTCCAGTGAGTCTTGCCTTCTCACAATGTGCCTGGCCAATTTCTGGCTTGATTTGGTCTTGCACCCGCTTGTCAGTCTTTCTGTCAGTCCAAGGTTTTCACAATTTCAGCCTTTCAGGATCAGGAAAAACTGGAAAAGCCAGGAGACCACCAAACATTCTATGTTCAGAGGAGAGGAAGTTAGGCTAAAGAGAGTTGGCCTGAGGTTCTGCACCACCAAGATAAAGGGCTGCCGAATCTCACTGGAGCACAAAGAGCCCTAGGAGCTCCTATCTCCAAAAATCCCATTTTTGAGACCTCTTGTCACTGGGAATCATAACAGGGTTACTGGTGCCACTTTTGTTTGAGCTGAGTGTATTTCACCCTAGCCTAGGGGCAGGGGAAGTTAATTCCTAGAGGAACCCTGTGCTCTCCCTCTCTGGAGATCTTGAAGTAGATCTTCATGATGCTCCAACCCTCCTTCACTGAGAAGCTGGCTGTCACAGTCACCTCCGTCCCTAATTCTGGGATCCTGTGACTTCTTCTGAGGTTATCTCTTGAGTGCGGGAGGGGATACTCCAACTGGAGAGAAACCAGTTGTGTCTTCCTGGAAACCACTTCCTGGAGAGTAGGATATTACTCCAGACTATTTTGTCTTATGAGAGCCATTACACAGTAGATGGAGAGCCTCTTTTAACCGAATGCCCAACTTTTCAACTTGAGAAAAGCTCTTGAGGGCAGCATTCTGGAGTGGGCAAGGAAAAGGCCAAAGGGGTGAATTAAATCGAAAGAATAGCATAATATTTTAGCTTAAAGCTCTTCCTGCTAGAAACTAACCTTAGGGGAAGTTTTCCAACCTTTTAGACTAGGAAGAAAACTGCACAGAAGCTGGAAATCTTTGGTGGTTGAGGGAAAGGAGATGGCCTTTGGAGGAAGCTTGAAGCTCTGGGTTTGGATGCCAGGCCTGAGGCCGCCCACCCCAACATGGTGGCAGAAGAGACGGATCAGGAAGTTCCTGGATCAAATCTGTCTTCACACGAGCTCACATGCTGGCCATTCTGCTTCTGTCCGAGTCCCCTCCTCATCCCTCTTCACAATATGGGAAATAACAACCCTGGGGAATCTTGCAGAGTTGCTGTGAGGACTGCAGGGCAGTTCTGGATGGGCAAAGCACGCAGTGCCAAAAAGGGCCATACAGGTGTTGACTGTCATGCTGCGTTTCCTCTGCCCAGGGTTTCCTGCTGTGATAATAAAGAAGGAAGAAGATGAAGATCTGTGGGTACTGTACCGCCAGGGCTCTGAGGAAAATGAAACTTTCCCTGCTGCACAGCCAGGTGAGTGGGTTGTTTGAGGTTCAGCTTCTGCTAGCCCTAAGCAAGACATCATTTGCGTCACCGGAACGGGGCAGGGGAGGAGACTTCCTCCGATCTCAGTAGTACGACTATTCAGAGAAACAGGCCCACCATGAATCCTCCTTTCGGATTCAGGACTGCATTTGTGCAGGGGCTTTTCATCAGTGGCTGTCGATACCCCAGAAAGGGAGGGCAAGACCAGTGGAGGGTTGTGCTCAGTAATTGTTCTTTCTAGCGGCTGTTGGGACCAGACACTATATGGGAGACTTTATATGGTCAGTGCGTTTTTTGACCCTCAGGGTCACCAACTGAGCCCTTTTTATACCCATCCATCTTTCTGTTCACACTGTGGCCAAGCACTAACCTCTTGGAAACAGATAAGCAGAGCATGTATGCAGTAACACCTTCCTACTCATGTTCCCTAACAGCTGATTCATACAGACATGCTACCTCTGTTAGGGACAATACTAGTCTAACCCTAACCCCAACCCCAACCCTAGTAATCATCGATGTCCTCTAGGAATATGCCTCCAGTCCCTGCCACTCAGCCTGACCAACCTCACAGGGGTGTTGTTATTTTGAGGATAAAATGAAGGAGAACCTGGTAAACTGCCTTAGGTTCCTTGCAAGAGGAAGGAAAGTGGAATATAAATACTATGTGATGATTCTTTTCAGCCATTTGTGGCCAGTTTGAATGCCTTAATCCTACATTAATTTATTTCTGCATTAAAAGAATTGTGCTAAAAGCAGCAAGAATAGACTAATCTGAACATATAAAGCAGTTCAAACCTGGAGAAGGATTATTTTAGAATGCAGCACTCTAAAATATCATAATCACTGTGATTAAAAAGAAAAGTGGTGGTTCAATTTTTTTTTACAAAGCCTGGTGGAATACAAAGATCTTTTCCTGGCAGCAAAAGCCAACCAAGCCAGGTGGGACTCTCTAGAAAGGACATTCACAATTTGGGAGCAAACACAGGAAAACCCATGGGAGCATTTGGAGCAGGGCCTCAGGTGGCAATCTCAGGCTACAGGCAGAAATCTATGGGTAGAAGTGATCCTTTAGATACAGGCAGTCCCCGAGTTATGAACAACCCATACTTATGAATGAACTGCCAGAAAGCCTATTAATTAAAAAAGTACTGCAGAAAATAATGGTCTTCATAGAGAGAATGAAAGTGAAAGGGGTGTGAGGGAGGGTCTCCAAAACGTTGTCACAGTGAAAGAGGAAATAAAAGGGAAGTGAGGGAGACCTCCAAAGCATCACCATAGAGAGAGAGGAAGTGAAAGGGGAGAGAGGGAGGCCTCCAAAGCATCACCATAGAGAGAGGAAGTGAAAGGGGAGAGAGGGAGGTCTCCAAAGCATCACCATAGAGAGAGAAGAAGTGAAAAGGGAGAGAGGGAGGCCTCCAAAGCATCACCATAGAGAGAGAAGAAGTGAAAAGGGAGGGAGGGAGGCCTCCAAAGCATGACATCCTGCCCCACCCATCCGGAGAGGGAAGTCCCTCTGACATTTCCTTTCTGCAAAGAGGAGACACTGGCGAGTTTGGGGAGGGGCTAGAGATATTTACAGTTTTTCCACTTTCACAGGCATCCTGCATCCCAACCCATGTGAATGTGGAGGGCCAACTATACATAACCCAACTCCCATGCAAATTCGACTTTAAAAATGAATTTCTGTTTTCTTGGGAACAAAATTCCTTCATAACCTGGATACTGTGCCATCAAACCATGAAAGACTTTATTGGTTAGTACCAGTTCCTTGAATTAGACTTGGAAACAAAGTGAAAACCAACATTCTTAGACTACGTTTCTGTGATTTAAAAGACAAGTAACTGACTCTGCACAGGTACATCCTTCCCATTTGATGGAACATGTGCAGGGTTTCTACCCAGATACGTATCTTTCAAGGCTGAGATTCAGCCCTGAAACAGAGAATGTCAGGCAAATTATTGTCGAGTTTTCTCAACAATATTGTTATTGTTGTGCAGTTTTCTCTTCCTCCCAGGCCATAGGCTAAGGAGTACAATACTCACAAGATCCTTCCCAAGAAAGGTTTGTGCCTGCTGATCTTGCTTGTTCACATGGTGGTTCTCTCTCTTTATTTTAACAGAAGAGGGGCACGTTAGAAGGTATGTGGGAGAGAAAGAAAATAAATGCCCCGATTGTGGGAAAAGCTTCACCCAGAGGTCTAGTCTTGTCCGACACGAGAAGACACACACAGGAGAGAAGCCGTATCAGTGCTCTGAATGCGGGAGAAGCTTCAGTCAGAGGTCTATTCTGACCAGACACGAGAGAACTCATACGGGAGAGAAACCCTACAAATGCTCAGAATGTGGGAAAAGCTTCCGCCACAAATCAGCCCTTCTCAGGCATGAGAAGATGGAAGCAGGGGAGAGGCCCTATGAATGCTCCCACTGTGGAAAGGGCTTCATTCAAAGGTCAAACTTCCTCATCCATGAGAGGATCCATACAGGGGAGAAACCATACCTTTGCTCAGACTGTGGGAAAAGCTTTGTTCAAAGGTGGCACCTTCTCATCCATGAAATGACGCATAAGCAGGAGGAACCGCATGAGTGCTCAAAGTGTGGGAAGAGATTCAGTCACAGCTTAAGTCTCCTTGTTCATGAAAGAAGTCACATGGGAGAGAAAGTTTATCAGTGCTCAGACTGTGGGAAAAACTTCACTCAGAGGTCCAGCCTTGTCCGACATGAGAAGACACATACGGGAGAGAAGCCATATAAGTGCTCTGAGTGTGGGAGAAGCTTCAGTCAGAGGTCTATTCTGACCAGACACGAGAGAACTCATACGGGAGAGAAACCCTACAAATGCTCAGAATGTGGGAAAAGCTTCCGCCACAAATCAGCCCTTCTCAGGCACAAGAAGATGGAAGCAGGGGAGAGGCCCTATACATGTATACACTGTGGAAAGGGCTTCATTCAGAAGTCCAACTTCCTCATCCATGAAAGAATCCATACAGGGGAGAAACCATATCAGTGCTCCAACTGTGGGAAACGATTTGTTCAAAGGTCGCACCTTCTCATCCATGAGATGACGCATAAACCAGAGGAGTCCTATCAGTGCCCAACATGTGGGAAAAGGTTCAATCATAGTCTAAGCCTAGTTATCCATGAAAGGAGCCACACAGGAGAGAAACCGTACCAGTGTTCTACTTGTGGGAAAACCTTCATTGATAAATCAAGCCTTCTCAGACATGAGAGGGCACATCACGGAGAGAAGCCGTACAGCTGCTCAGAATGTGGGAAAAGCTTCAGTTATAGGTCAGCTCTTCTCAGGCACAAGAAAACCCAGGCAGGAGGGAAGCCATATTGGTTCTCTGCTTGTGGGAAAAGCATCATTCAGAAACTAAAGCACCTTGCACATGAGAGGCCCCGTAATGGAGATAACTCGTACAGCTGCTCATATTGTGGAAGAGGCTACAGCCTGAAGTACAAGCTCCTCATACATGAGCGAGCCCACGTGAAGAAGAAACCGTACAAGTGTTCCGAGTGTGGGAAAAGCTTCAGCCAAAGATCCAACTTCATTGTGCATGAAAGGACCCACACGGGGGAGAAACCCCATCAGTGCTCGGACTGTGGGAGACCCTTCAATGACTGGAGGAATCTCCTGAAGCACAAGAAGATCCACACAGGAGAAAAGCCCTATTGCTGTGGTGACTGTGGAAAAAGCTTCACAAATAAGTCGACCCTCGTTGTGCACAAGAGGACTCACACAGGAGAAAAACCGTATGAGTGCTCTGACTGTGGGAAAGGCTTCACCAGCAAATCAAGCCTAATCAAGCACGAACGGACTCATACGGGTGAAAAGCCTCATGTGTGTTCAGAATGTGGGAAAAGCTTCATCCAGAAATCAAACCTTCTCAGGCATGAGAGGACTCACAAAGGAGAGAGTGGGCATCAGTTCCCAGACTATGGTGAGAATTCCAGGCGTAATGGAAACTTGGTTAGGTGCATGGGAGCCCACGTGGGGGAGAAACCACACAAATGCACCGAGTGTGGGAAGGGCTTCAATGAGAGACGTAACCTGGTGGTGCATGAGCGCACTCACACGGGGGAGAGACCCTACAAATGTGTCCACTGTGGGAAAACGTTCACCAACAAAACAACCCTCATGGTCCACAAGAGGACTCACACAGGAGAGAAACCATATGATTGCTCATCCTGCGGGAAGAGGTTTCCATATAAGTCGAGCCTGATCAAGCACGAGAGAACCCACACGGGGGAGAAGCCATACACATGCACCAGCTGTGGGAAGGGCTTCAACCAGAGTGCCAATTTGCTTGCTCATGAGAGAACTCACACAGGAGAAAAGCCGTTTAAATGCTCGGATTGTGGGAAAAGTTTCAGTGACAAATCCAACCTCATTAGGCACCAGAAAAGTCATACAGGAGAGCAGCTCTAGAAAGACTCATATTTTGGTGGGATGGGAAAAGCCCTCAAGAGGAGTAGTTCTTACTGGTCATAAGAAATGCACAGAAGGCAACACTACTGGCATATACTACGTCATCCTGCTGAATGGTGTGGGTGGAGTTTGCTTATTTAAATGCACCCTCACCTGGCAGGGGAGAAACAAATCTCCTTGCACCTAGAAAATTAACATGCCAAGATCTTTGACTGGTAGTTTTCTATTTGTAGGTAATTTGTCATGGAGGAACAATACCGCCCTCTCTGCAGCAGTTTGTAGATGTAGAGTTCGGGAAAATGCTACTAATTAGTGTGGCTGGCAGATCCCCCACACACCTGGTCCTTGATTTCTGAATTCCAGGGATAATCTTAGTGTCTTTATTCTGTTGCTTCTATTATTTTCCCCTATAACTTAATTACGATCTTTCCAAATGGACACTTTTCGCTATGGCACAATCCTGTGCAAGTTTGGACAGGAAAGAGGCCCGTCAACTCCCAGCATGTCTCAACTAATTATAAGTCTTTTTTCTGTCTAAACATGCATAGGAATTTAAGTGTCCACATGTGAATTAACTATATAAATAGAAACTAAATACAATATATACTGAACATGTAATAAATAATAGGGAATGCTCCCAGGCAATAACTTTTGATTGGGCTGGCTATATAAATCCGTTTCAGTATACGATGGATGATAGAAACGAGGTGGGGAATTTATCTTTTCTCATGCAAATCTGGACTTAAATATTTTCAGTTCTCCATTCCCACCCTTGCAGTTCCTGGTCATTTGCTTTCATTTGGTTCATCCTCTCCTCTTGAGAAGTTTGCATTAACCAAGGCAGCTCAGCCACCCTGATGTCACTGCTGTGACAGGCATCACCCGTTCAATGCACGGGAGCGTCACAGCTCAACTCCACTTCCAGATGTTGCTCCAGAGGTTTCCTCGACCCTGCGCCCTGCACCTCGAGATGCAACCTGATCTTGCTGCAATGCACCACTTGATGTGCCAGCGTCATGGTGCATGGCAGTACCCCAGAAGGACCACTCTCAAAAATCCCACTGAAGACGATCCATCGTGGTAAATAGAGGGAGGTCATAACAAAGCATCCCTGAAATATTTGTCATCTCCATCAGGAGGTTTCCTTGACTTTTAATCGTACAAAAAGGAATACATTGTTAATATCTGGGCTTGGAGTTACTTTAACCAAGAGGTTGCACCATCGGGACCACTAGTGACGGAACAGGGGATTAGTATATAGTAAAGAACCCCATAAAGAAGCAGAAATGCTTGTTCTGGATCAGTGGGGATCAGCAGGAATCCCGAGTTCTGCCGACCTGCCCTCTTTCCCCTCGTTTGGGGTGGGCCCCTTCAGCATCCGGGCTGCATAGGAGACCCCCCCAAACAGCGGTACCCTTCACTGAAATGTGTGGGGCTTAGGTTAGACTAACCCAGTGTTTTGTGTGTGCCACAACACCAGGGGAGCTTAGCAAAAGTGCTACCATCCAACCAGCCCCAGCCCCACCTCACACGTGTGTGTTGCTGACTTTTGTTATGTTTACTTTATTCTCTGCATTTTATGTTATCATTTCTAGACATATTTTGTTGTTTTGTTATTGTAAACTGCCCAGAGAACTGGGTGATTGGTTGGCATTTAAAGATTGTTAACAGATACAGTTTAAGAAATTAAAAAAGCTAGTTTCTGGATTTTACGCCTTTCAGCACTTGAGTTTGAAATTGGTTGGAAACTGCCTGCTGCAAATGGCAGGAGCAAGATTTATTCCCATAGGATGGTGGCTAGGTTCCAATACCACATGAAATTTGTTATCCTTCCAAACCATGGCTAGACTAAATTATGCAAAATCAAATATGATGCAAATGGTCAAATATTTATGATTTATTCTTGGCATAGAATGTGGATTCCACTGGTGAAGAATTTAATTATTAAAAAGTGAATGAGCTGACACAGCTCTCTTAACAGTCATATGCCTAATAATTTGTAAACCCAAACAGCAGCAGACAAAAGAAGTTTAAATATATACATTAGAACCAGAACTCTCTTTTTATACTCAGGATGAACTGCTTGTAATATGGGTCTGGCTTCAATTTCTGTATGATCAGCAGAGTCACTCTGCACACTGTGCTAGAAAGCTGTTTGCGATGTCCTTGTTCTCACGGTGAAAGGCGGACGCAGGCCTGCCCCGGATGGTTCCACTTCAGATCTCATGTGGGGGCTCACATGAGCGAACGTTTTTCCTTAGAAGAAAAGTCCCTTGCACATGCACATGCACAGACAGCATGTCGGGAAGTGAGCCAAGTGTTACAGCCTGACACGCCAGCTATTTGCAGGGAGCTGGATTTGCTTGGAGACTCATGAGCCCGCTCAGCCCCCAGCCCTGTTGAAGCGGTTCAGTCCAGAAAGAGACTTATCACCTCACTGGTTCTGTTAGTGTGTTTTCTATGGTATTTTTTTCTTGATAGTTTGCTGCCCCTTGTGTTTGTAACGTCGCAGGACGGACAGAGGCTAGGAGTGACCACTGGTAACGAACTCTTGAGAGTACCTATTATAGCAGTCCTGGATATGCAGCTTCTAATAAAAGCCGCTAGGCATTTCTGATGATTGGGTTTCTAGTCCACTCATCCAATGACTCCAGGCAAATTCCCCAGCTAAGCCCAATATAAGTCACACCTAATTTCAAAAGAAAATTTATTCATCTATTCATTTGTGCATTCAGCTGAGGTGCCCTGTAGCAAAGCTCTCAAGGAAACCTATGTAATCAAAGCAAAAGTAATAAAATTTAACTAAAAGGTTTGATGTTCTGGCAATCAGCTGCATACATGGAGAGCCTTTCTGAAGGAGAACAAAGAGGCTGAGGCCCCATTCCACAGGGGGAAAGCAGCTTTAGGGTGATTTAAGAATGCTAACAAGACCTCATGTGCCAGAGCTGGAGAGTCAATCCAAAAATGAAGTCCTGATGGCTTGGCACAGACTCTGCACCAACTTGTGGATCGCAGGGGGATAGTCAGGTAATCTCAATTTACTTAACCACTCAGTTCCTGACAGGGGTCCCCTCTGGCTGGCCTTGCACTAGCACACAGGGAACTAGCAAATCCTGAAGCGAGCAGAAACGAACAGAAGCAGTGGGCTGCGAAGCGGGACAGGCCAGGGGAGTTTGCAGACGGGAGGCCCCAGTCCAGCCACAAGTGTTTCCGGAGTTGCTTTAGGAAACGCTGGCGCCCAGTTGCACTAGCACTGGGCCTCCTTGGCCACGCAAGGTGGGGACGCAGCAGCAGTGTCTGCTACCGCCCATTTTCTTCCTTTCCACTTTCTCTGAGTGAAAAGCAATTTGCGAGGGCAGGAGGTTTCCCCAGCTTGCTTGCAATGCCCTTTGTGAACTTCTTTTCCTGAGTGAGAAAAGTCACTGGGTAAACCAAACTATTGTTCGATGAAGTCACGGTTCTATGGACCAAAATGGATTCTTTAATAAATTCATAAAGGAGCAACACTGCAGCACCAGCGTATCTGTGCAGCCCTTTATGATGGGTATAAAATGAAACACACGGGTGTTGTGGTGGAATTCTGATCGGAAACACGAGCAGGCCTTTTAAGTGCAGGTGCCCGAGGCTTTTAGAACAGCCTTCTCCAACCAAGTGCCCGCCAGGTATTTTGAGCTGTAACCCATGCGTTCCCAATTGGTGCGCATGTAGTGTGTGTGCACACGCACACGTCCTTTGCGTGCTTCCTCCTCGCCACGCCCTCAGAGGAGGTTGCATTCCTTCCAGCAGAACAGAATAAAAACTGACCCAACTTAACACAGCAATTCTCTGTGCTACTTGCTCCCAGGTAAGTGTGCACAGGATTTCAGCTTACAGGTAAGTGCTTCAACATCATCCCCAGGGACCTCAAAGTGGCCTCCTCCTGAGTAGGCATGCTTAGGCTGGCACGATGCATAGCGTTTCTCCCGCACCACACACACTGTGCCTGTTTAACCCTGAAGCCCCCAAAGTGATCCTTAAAGGTTTGCAGTACACGGGCATGCTTGGCATCCTCCCAAGTTGGGGAGAGCTGCTGAGAGCAACTTTTTAACCACCTTTCTTCCGAGGCTCAACCAGGTAGTCTCCTGCCAAGCACTGTCCTGAACCTGGTTAAGTTGCGCAAGATGCTTCATCACACATGTTCACAGAACTCCTTGTTTCTGACTCATATTGTCAAATGTAGAGTCACTGAACGTCTTTCAGCCCTACAAGTCAATTCTCAGAGGAGCTGGAGCGGCCGCATTCCAGCGACAGATACGGCCAGAAAGACCAGCCTGTTTTAGCTTAAAGCTCCTCCCTGCAGCAACTCAGCCTCCCAGAAGCATTTCAACCTCCTAAAAGGTAGGAAAATCTGCCCAAAACTCCAGCAACCACCAATTGGTACTCGGGATGGGAACTGGGGCAAGGGAAGGGGCTGTTGCCACCTAGGAGGCACCCGATTAAGGGCTTCCGCGATCCATCCCAAGGCTTTCGAACCTCTTCTTGGCCTTGAAAGTGACTTGCTGCGCAGCACAGAGGAATGGGCAGAGGAGGCAGCTGCCTGAAGAAATCGCAAGTGCAAACATTCCCCCAGCTATGCAGACCTAACATGAACACATTTCTTCCACTTCCAAGGTTTGGGCCCTGAGTGCCACTGCTTATTTTGTCAGAGTGGTACCATCTATCAGCCTGCACAGTTTGCAGGGAGACAAGAAATGCTTCCGGGAAGCCCATGATAAAGGCCAGGCTATCAAGCGGCATATAAATTTGAAAGTAAATAAAAGAAATAGCAGCCCCTCTTAGCTGACCATCTTTCAGCAGCTGAAATTCATCACTACACTGCCAGAAAACATGGGCAGCAGAGGAGCCTTTCTAGCTAGCATGGCCAAAAGCTGTTGACAAAAAAGAGTTTTTGCTTAATGCATTTACCAATTCTTGATTTAAAAGCTGTACAATCCAACCCCAGCACCACATTTTATTGCAGAAAACTCCAATAAGTGAATTATTTTCACACAATGCCTTCGGCCTCTGCCAACATCAACAGAAGACAGTCTAAAGAGATATTTTGGGATGTCTCATAGAGTCTTTCTACGAATGCATCATAGCCCTTGTCATATAAAACATCCTTCTTCAGAGGCAGACATTTCGCAGCATACATGTTTACTCTGTGGAGATCACTGGCATGAGGATGGGGCCGGGGAGAGAAGTTACAGAAAGAGCGCAGTGTATGTGTGGACTTGCATCCAGGTTGCCAGATACAGACTTGAACCCTGTTCCAGCTTTCTGCAACAGGGCAGGCTAAACGTAACCAGGAGGAGCACAGCAGTTCATGGAAAAGCAGCACTTCTTTCTGGGAAAGCCCCTGTGGACATTGGAGAGTCTCCTCTCCAGAAAGTCCCCCCCCCCGCAAAAAAAATAGAGGATAATGAACCTGAAAATTAAGGGACGGGGTGGAACGAGTGCCCTCCCTCTCTGCAGGAGCACCGTCTCCCTGAATAGGGCTGTATTGAGAAGCTGGTTATCCCTGCAGAATTCCTGGAACCAAACAAAGCGGAATAATAATAATGCCTCGGGTGTAAGCCTATTCATGTTCAGCCAAAACAAGGCCTACAACTCCCAGTGTGCCTCAGCCAGCCAGCCACCCTGCAAGTGGCAGGCCACTTCTCTGTCTATTCATGTATAGGGTTTATAGGGTTGCACCTTTAGCCACTCAAAAGCCAAACTGCAGTACTAAAACTTTAGGAACAATCATTCTACAGCACTCTGGTCTATTTTGTCGTGGCATTTTATTTATTCGAATATGTAAGTATTTCATTTTTTCCCAGCAAGATTTCTGATTTTTGTTCAGACCTTTAAAAAATATTGCAGTGGGATCTTAGATTAGGATCAAATGGTTGATCAGGTGGTGTTCTGCAGCGGGAGTGGGGGCAGTGACTCAGCTGCCAAATGACAGCAACAGCAATAGCAAAAGGCCACCCAGCTGAATTCCTGATCAGTGGTCACTCCAATATAAATTTGTTTCCTACGCAAGTCATTCTGGTGTGTGGCCTCACACAGGTAACTGGCCTTACATCCGTGATCCACCATTTTGTGCCTGGCTCCATCTAGTTTTAGGAAAAGCAAGCAGATTATGTAGATGCTAATTCAACATTTGGCCAGCTACAACTTAACTCTGAAAACCGGCAGTACGGCAAGTTGGTTTTCTTTTGCACCTTCTACTGCAGCTTCCCCTGGAAGCCTGCCATTCTGAAACACAGTGGCTTTCTCGATGAGTGAGACTACAGATCCCAGCATCTCCAGCTAGCATGACTGGATGGGAAATACTGGGACTTGTAATCCCATTTATCTGGAAGATGCCATGTTGCAGAAGACTGCTTAGCCTCGTGACCCTTAAATCTGCTTAAAGGGCTTGGAGAGTCCTCCACAGCGGAGCTGAGGAAAGGGGACAGGAAGGGAAGCTGGAGAGGACGGGGAAGTCCTGCTGGGCCAGGGCAGTGCCAGATGGTCTCCTCTAACCTGTTTGTTCTGCCGCCATCCTGTGCACTTACCTCAAGCACGGTGGGGCTCCTGAGTAAGCACGCCTAGGATTTTTGCAAACCCATCTACTCTTTCCCACGTTCCTCACCCGCCCACCCTCACTAACTTGGTAACATTCCAGCATAAAAAGTACTTTTTCTTATGGTCCAGCTATTATTTTGGTGTTTGCTATTTCTCTGCATTTCATAGAATAGTAGAGTTGGAAGGGGCCACCAGGCCATCGGGTCCAACCCCTGCTCAGTGCAGGACTCCAGGTTAACCATCCCGCTCAGATGGCTGCCCAGCTGCCTCTTGAATGCCTCCAGTGTAGGAGGACCCACAACTTCCCCGGGTCATTGGTTCCATCGCCATACTGCTCCAACAGTCAGGAAGTTTTTCCTGATGTTCAGCCAGAATCCAGCTTCATGTTAACTAAGCCATTAAGTTCTGCTCTCTGGGATGACTGAGAAGAGATCCTGTCCTTCCTCTTTGGGACAGCCGTTCAAGTACCTGGAGAGTGCCATCCCATCTCCCCTCGGTCTTCTCTTCTCAAGGCTAAGCATGTCCAGTTCTCTCAGACTCTCCCAAAAGGGCTTTGTCTCCAGTCCCCAGATCATCTTTGTCGCCCTCATCTGAGCTTTGCCAGTTTTTCTGCTTCTTTCTTAAACTGTGGAGCCTGGAATGGGACACAGTACTCAAGATGGGGCCTAGCCAGTATCCTAACTATTTAGGCTTATATTTTTAACTGCCTGTTTTTTCTCCCCCTCTCTACCCTTTTACTTTATTGGGCTTTGGGGCAAGACACATTAAAATCATTTTTTAAAAGACCGCAGATCCCCAAAGGCTGAAGTCTGCCCACACTTGCAGCCCACTTAATACATCACATCCCATCCCTGCCTTGCTCCCTGACATGTCCAGGGAGCAGAGAGATCAGGGTTATGCTCCACCACCGGAGGAAGCTCACCGAGACCAGTGCGATGACACACAACTGGCTCTGCGACGAACCAAGGCCCACGTGAGACTCCGCTTCCCACAGGACTGGGTATATGTGTCTGTGCGTTGATCGTACGTACTGGAGCAGAAATCTCAGTCAGGAGCTCCTGGGCTCATTACTCTACATTAGCTTTAATGGTTTTCTTCCAGCAAAGTTCCTTCATATCTAAGAAGGCCCAAGCCATGGGGTGAACAATTTATGGCTCTCCAACTGTTGTTGGACTACAACTCCCATCATCCCTCACCACTGCATAAGTTACCTATGGCTGATGGCAATTGCATGGTGGGCTGCAGATGGCCCACTCCTGACCTAATCCGTCACCACAGCTTGTCTTCTCCACAGGCCCCAACTTTACTGTTTCTCTCCAGTGTGGGTTCTCTCGTGCTTGTTGAGAATCGTCCTCCGAATGAAGCCTTTGCCACAGTCTGAGCACTTAAACGGCTTCTCACCCGTGTGGGTTCTCTCATGAACGATGAGGCTTGAGCTTTGGTTGAACCCTTTCCCACAATCCGAGCATTTGTAAGGCTTCTCCTCAGTGTGGATTCTCTCATGTCGGATGAGACTTGATTTGTCACTGAAGCTTTTCTCGCAAGCCGTGCAGCTGTACGGCTTCTCCCCAGTGTGGATCCTCTCATGCTTGATCAGGCTTGACCTGTCACTGAAGCTTTTCCCACAGTCAGAACATTTGTAAGGCTTCTCCCCTGTGTGGGTCCTCTCATGATTTGTCAGGTTGGATTTTCTGTTGAAGCTTTTCCCACAAAAAGAGCAATCGTAGGGTTTCTCCCCTGTGTGGGTTCCCTCATGCCTTATAAGATGTGACCGGCTACTGAAGCTTTTCCCACAGTCTGAGCATTTAAATGGCTTCACCCCTGTGTGGATTCTTTCATGGGTGAGAAGATGTGACCTTCGGACAAAGCTTTTCCCACAGCTTGAACATTTATAGGGTTTGTCTCCTCTGTGGGCTCTTTCATGTTTATTAAGGCTCGATTTATCACTGAAAGGTCTCCTGCAGTGAGAACAATTATATGGTTTTTCTCCTGTATGAATTCTTCTGTGTATGACGAGGCTTGAATTCTGATTAAATCCCTTCCCACAGTCTGAACATTTGAATGGCTTCAGACCAGTATGTTTCATCTCATGAATAAGAAGGTTGGATCTTTGACAGAAGCCTTTCCCACACACTGAGCAGCCATATGGTTTCTCTCCTCTATGGATTCTCTCATGTGCAAGGAGGCTTGAGCTCTGAATGAATCTTTTGTCACAGCCCGAGCATTTATACGGTCTCTGTTCTCTGTGGATTCTCTCATGTCTAACCAGGGTTGAACTCTGGTTGAACCTTTTCCCACATTCCAAGCATTTGTAAGGTCTCTGCTCTGTATGGCTTCTCTCATGTCTGATAAGACTAGAACTCTGATTGAACCTTTTCCCACATGATGAACAACTGTACGGCTTCTCTCCCGTGTGTTTCCGCTTGTGCCTAATAAGGCTGGACCCATCGCTGAAGCTGTTCCCACACTCGGTGCACCGGAACGGCTTTTCTCCAGTATGGATTCTCTCGTGTGTACGAAGGTTGGATCTTTTCATGAAGCTTTTGGCGCAGCGGGAACACTTGTGTGGCTTCTCTGCCACATTTTGACTCCCATGTTTGATCAGGTCTGGTTTGTCGCTGAAGCTTCTCCCACAGCCTGGGTAATATGGTATATCTCCCATGAAGATTCTTCCTTCTCCAACTCCTATAAGGGAAAACAGACAGCCCTAATGTCAGTCTTAACCAGAGGGGTGCAGAAGCTCTAGGAACCACAGGGAACCCCTAGCTCAGTGGAGAAACAACCGCTTTGTATGCAATAACTTCCCAGGTCCTTTCATGCAGCAAGTTCCTTCAGGGAGGGGTAGAAATCCTTAATCCCTGTAAAGCTGCTAGTGCCAGAAATTGTGGGCTTCGATGGACCTAGGGTGTAACTCTGCTTAAGGCAGCTTTCTGTGTGAACCTTAACAGCTTGCTAAAATGATAAAACAATATTATTAATAGCACAAGAATTATGTTAAAAGGCTTCAGCCATTGCCTGGGCTCCCCTGGGGGCCACATACCCTTTTCCCCACCCCATGAAATACTAGCAATAAGAGCTTTAAGCTAAAATATGGCAATCCGTTTTGGCTTTGGGCCACCCACCATTCAAACGGCCACAGCAGCTGGGAAATATGGGAAGCACAACATATCTGGAGGGTCCCCTTTAACGGGGGCTTGAATACAGGATAGCATACCGCACGTGGGAAGCACCTGGCTGAGAGACACAACCCTGGACTAGATGGAGCCCTGATTTGAGCTGGCACCTCTTATGTTTGTGAAAATGACCCTCACTCTCAGTGGGTTAAGCTGAATCTCTCCCACCTGAAGGGTCTCCTTTGAATGTCACGCCGGCCTCTGAAACCTGGCGGTAGGGAACGTACAACTCCTCTTCCTGCTCCAGCTTTATGATCACATCTGGAAGTTCTGATGGGGGGAAAGAGGAAAGATGAAGCAGACAGAAGCACCATCATGACGACAGGCAGCGAGGGGTACCAGGTGCTTTCTGTGAAAACTCCAGACCTTTTGCCCAATAGTTTAGGAGCCAAGCCACCCATCAGATTTCTCCCATGCAAAAACATTTAGTTCTGCCTGTTCAGAACCTGAAAGTCGCTCTTCGAATGGGCAAAAAGAAAGCTTTGTCACTCAAGCAGGGAAAAAAGAGTGAATGGTAGGCCTTTTATTTCTGCAGTGTATCTCAGTCTCCTGCTCTCACTGAGACTGATCTTCCCTTCTAGTTGGGAGGGGGAGAAGTGGGGAACATGAGCTGCCAAAGAGGAAGGCCACCACAGAAACAATAGAACGAAAGAGCTCAGAGCATCTCCTCACCTAGGAGTATAAATCCAAGGCCTCCACATTGTGTTAGCTGGGGCATGCTCGAAGCTGCCAGACTTTTTGCTGTCTGAACTCCTTTGTCCAAGAAGCTGAGGCGAATATACACAGTCTCAGCCTGCATCCCTGATATTTTATCTGCACAGTAAGCTCACCCACTGTGAACCTGGATGTGTTCCAAGCTGTAGTGTAACCCTGCCAGCGGTTCACCACCCCGTCTCTCAAGGCAATGAAGATGCAGGGCTGGGCTATTTTTAACATGGAACCCCTCAGCTGCTCCAAGGCTTTGCTCAGACTTTCCTGCTTACCTGAGCTGTAGTCTGTTGGGATCTCCCTTTCCTCTGAAACAGGCTCTGGGATCCATGGATCCCCACCATGGATTACTTCCGATTTGAGGACAGGAAACCCTGCACAGGAAGGAAAGGAACAGATGCACTCAGAAATTGGTTAACTGGGGTCTGGATTCAAGCCGACAGTGGATGGAAAGAGGGAGGCAGTTTGGCTAGTTCCTACATCATTCCTCAACCCCTTGAAAAGCTGCTCCAGCTTTTTTACTGTTGTTGCCCTTGTGACTGATTATTTACTTATTGCCAGTCTCTTTGGAAAACATTTTTTTAAAGTAGGGTAAAATAATAAAAAATATTAGGTATTAGCAAAGTTCCTGTGTATAGTGGCTGGCAGATGCACAATATAATGTGGCAGGATGCGATGACTGCTAAGTGCATCTTGTGGCAGAAACTTTCAGAGTTTCTGGCCTGCTTGCACTTGCTCCCTGTATGGTTCAAGAAGCTGATTCCTATCTACAAAGCCATACACAGATCTTGTATGCTGTGCTCATCATCTTGGACTCTGACCAGGTGCCTCCCTCTGAACACAGGCATGAAACGCGGCAGCAAGGGAGGACAGCTTCGCAGTGGCAACCTTCCAATTATGGAATGAGCTCCCTGGCGAGGCCCCCTGGCACCAATATCGTTATCTTGGCAGAGCTGGGTGATGACTTTACTCCCAGACAGTTGGCAGCATATGATGTTTTGAACCTGGTCATGGGGTATTTATTATTCAGGTCTGTGTGGAGTCTGCTCTGCTTGTATTTGCTGTTTTATATTGTTTTAATATCTGCTGTTTTATCACTGTATTATTACAATATTTTAAATCATTGAAAGCCGTCCTGAGCTTTCAATGGAAGGATGGGATATAAATTTTTAAATTAAATTAAAATTAAATTATATGTCTGTAGCTAAATTGTTTTTATATTATGCACACTACTGTATTTTTTAGGCGTTAATATTTGTAAACCACCCAGCTTGCTTAGGTTGTTGGGCAGTATAGAAATGGAATGATGAAGTGATGTTTAACTCGGTATTGCCTGAAGAAATGCTTCTTTCTACCTGTTCAGAATCTCAATTGGCTGCATGGGACAACCCTTCTGGGTCCTAGTATTATGAGATGGGGGGGAAATGCCTCCACACCATGCTTGATTTTGTACGCCACTATCACACCCCACCATGACGCACTCATTTCCCTTCCAGGCATACACTGGATGCCCTCTGCTATCCTGTTTCAGCAAATATAAAACAGTGTAGTTCCAGCTTAGTCTTCCCCAACCTGGTGACCTTCAGAAGCATTTGGACCACAACTTCCAGAATTCCCATCCAGCAGGGCCACTGACTGGGAATTCTGGGTGTTCCAGTCCAAGTATGCCTGGAAGGCACAAGGTTGGGGAAGGCTGCTCTAGTGGGTATGGAATAAGGCATTCCTACTTCTACCTGGAAAGCAAAACATCCGAACCAGCCAATGTAAGAATACGACTTCATGTATACACGTGTAGCATGGTGGACATTTTACAGCTGTGGTGGACAATTTGTGCCATTCCAAATAATGCTGCCATTTTGCCATGTGGAACTTTTGGCTGTGCTGGCAAAGGCTGATGAGAGTCGCAGCTCAAAAACACCTGGGGGGGGGGCACTCCTGCTTTGGAGATTCAGAGCATTTCAGAAAGATGAGCTCAGCAGCCCTCAGAAGAACTGAAGTTCCTGGGATTATTCCTACATCACAGACAGCGGGATGAGAACCCACAGGCAGAAGGCCATTTGCTGAACTCATGACCAAGATACGATGTGAATCAAGGGCAACAGGGCTCAGTACCTCAGTAGCCCTGATAAAGCTCCTTAAGGTTTCAAAGTACATCAACCTGACCCTGAAAATATTCAGAGCCACTAGAAAGTGTAGAAGTGCCACGTGGGTGAACAGAAACAGGTAATTTTCAGTAGTTTTGTATGCATCTGCAGTGCAAATCTCTCACCAGAGCGGTCACCTGGAAAGTTCTCATTTTCCTCTGATCCCTGGTTCTTTGGGAGCCATGGTACCTCTTCTTCATCTTCTAGCTTTATTGTCACATTAGGAAATTCTGATCAAAAGCAAAAGAAAAGTTTGAGAAAGAACACAATAATAATGCTTTAAAGTCTTTGGGGAGATCTAGTCAACAATTTAATAGAAATTTTGCACACAATTATGCTGTGAGCAATTAGAGCCTAATTAAACCTCAAGATCAGTAGAAAAATTCCGGATGTAACCAATTTGGAGACACTAAGTTTCCAAACAGAACCATCTAAAGTATTCCCAACCTAAGAAGTCTGCTCCTTTTAAAAAATGTAATACTCCTTAATAGCACTTCAGTATTAGTGCTTTAATATTTCAAAAGGTTTTTTTCTTAAATAAAAACCTGTGAAATGGGCAATGCAACCCAAAGTGCAAACAAAGGGGTGCACAACAAGGAGATGCGGAGCCCTCGGCAACCCGCGGTCTGTTCCCTGAAGCTGTTTTCCCCTGAGCCAGACTGACCTCCATACTGGGTTTAAGTCTGGGAAAGAGCCCTGGAGAAGAGAAATTGTAACGGCAGTGCCTGACAAGAGACTGGTGCTCACATAACCCTTCACTACTTTAAATCATGCACATGGGAATGGAATTGGGTCAGAGCAGCCTTTAAGTGTAACTATGCAAAACCTCAAGGGCCCATCCGGTCCTTTTCTCCCATTCTAAAGCTATTATATAATTATCACACTGCATTTTATCCCACTTTTTCATCTTATGAGGAACCCAAAGTAGCATACACGGCTCCATTTTAACCTCACAACAGCCCCCCTATGTGGTAGGTTTGGCTGAAAGTTTGTGACTGACCTAAAGTCACCCAGAGTTTCATGGCCAAGCAGGGGCCAGAACCTGGATCTCCCAGGTCCCCAGTCCAACAGTCTCGCCACTACACCACACCAGCTGAAATACTTCCCCTAAACCTGAGAACTTGTTTGAAACTGAATTTGGCCCTCAGGTTCAATACCTGCTGCTCTGAAGACGCAAGTGTGCCACAACCAAGCTGGCCTGGATGTATACCTGTTAGGAGGAAAACTCTGATCTCAGGAAACTTTCCCCTTGTTTTCTGAAAGGTTAATGAACTAGCCCAACTCAATGCATGTATCACTATGCTACACGGGTGGAAATAAAATCAAAGCCCTAACCTCAAGCAAAACTCTTCCTTGATCTCTGGAGTCATTAAAAAACCAAAGCTAACACTTTCACTTTTCTGAGCATCTCAGTTTCTAAACCAAACACAAAAGAGGAGTCTTACCTAATGAGGCCATGTTCTTGTGTTCCTCTTGCATAACTACCCAGGGCGCAGTTTCGCTGGCTGGGTGTCAATGGATCTCCGTCACTCCTTCGGGAACCACACAGAGCTGCGTCCCACAAAGTCACTCCGTGGCCTCAAGACAAAAGAAAGCATTTTCCCACCCTGGCTATAAACATCCGCCAAAGCCCACAAAACTCTCAGAACGGCGCATTTCATCTTGTGGCAGCCCCATCATGCACAGCAGCGCTGCTACGCCGCTTTGCACATGAGGAAAAACTCTCTTCCTGGCAAAAGCCAGGAAATCCAGCCCCAGCTGTGGTCACAGTGGACCTAGCTCACAACGCGGGTGAAAGCTTCACTAAAACTCCTCCCCAGCTCCACCTAAACTGACTTTCTAGCATGAAATCTAGTTCCTCCACTAGTCCCAGAAAATAAAAGCTCGTCTTGGTGCTACTGGTTGCTACAACTTGGCCTTCCAAGTCTCTTGGACCTGCAGTTTGCAAGTCAGTTTGGAAGGGGTAGAATGGGAGACATGTGGCTGTTTGCCAGGGGAGGGGAATTGGATCTATTTGGGTGGGCGGCTGCGGGACAGGGCAGAGTCAATGATGAATAGTCCTGGGAGACTGGGAACTATAGAGCTGGGGTAGCATCCCATATTAGTCCTACTAATATTAGTCCTACCTATGATAAACTCACTAAACTGAAATTCATTTCAATGGTTCTAGAGTATGTAGGACTAATTGCTGTACGTAGTTTTATTTTGAGCCTATGCGGACATAATCCTATGTGTGTTCAGACAGAAAAGAGTCCTACAATTCCCAGTCTGCTTGGAACCGTGGAACTTTTTCCTGACTTTATACATATACGATCATGCCCTGTGTTATTTAGACTACTATTCTTACAGTACAGTATGTGTACAAGTATTTCTAAACAACCAACACCCATAAATGTCAAGGCTGTGTAAAACAAACAAAAAAAAAGCATAAATCCTGTTCATAGAACATATTGCACCTGTTCGATTGTGTGATCGATGCTGTGTTATTTGACTGCGATATATTGTTTTTGTCCCACTTTGGGATTCTTTCAGCATGAAAAAGGGCCAAGAAATTTCCAAAATAATAGTAAAATGGTAGGTTAAAAGACAACAACAACACCAACAACAACTGCATGGCATTGCATTGCTATACCACCCATAGTTGAAGCTCTCTGGGCAGTTCGCGTTTTAAGTGACCCCTCCAGATTTCAACCAGGCCCAACGCTGCTTAGCTTCCAAGATTAGGCAAGGTCAGGCACTTCAAGCCATATAATTAAGAAATTACATAAAAAAGGCTTGAATAAACAGATGTGTCCTTACCCAAAAATGCAAAGTACTGGTGTATATCTCATCTCAGGGTAAGTTTATTTCACTTGAAGGGGGTCACTACCCGAAATGGCTTGCTTTGAAAAACAGCCAAATGAGCATAGAAGTATGTAATGTAATAAGCAAATGAAACAAAACATGGTACCTCTACAAAGGCCTCACTAGGTGATCCCAAAGAGCAAATGAGAAGGCAGAGTAACTGTCTGCTCATGAAATATTCTGACATAATTTGCCTGTAAAATAAACCCAGCCTTGCTGAAAGACGACTTTTTTCTTCCTTCCTCCCCATCCCTTTTTCCTTGTATGCCTTTTTAAAAAAAAGACTGTAAAACGGCAGAGGGGGACTGCCTTGTTTTACTGATGCAGACAAACCACTGTGGGAGATCGGCATATACATTGGCTATTCTTTGCCAGCCATAAAGTGGATTTGCTGGGCAGACAGGAGGTACCAAATGTCACTGGCTCATCTCCTTCCAGAACCACTTCCATTAGGAGCTTTTTCACAGACTGCTTCTCACGGTCTGGTTTGGCTTAGAGAGTCATAAATGACTTGGGGTGGGTGGCAGATTTCTGAAAGAACAGGTCCTCCCAAATAAGCCTTCCTGTCATTTAGGTCCGCAGCTTGGGAGTGCTCCTCGACCCGGAGCTTTCATTGGAAGCTCAGGTGACAGCGGTGGCGAGGAGCGCCTTCCTTCAGCTTCGGCTGATTAATCAGCTGCGCCCCTACCTGGAGTACGACTGCCTGGCGACGGTGACACACGTGCTGGTGACTTCCCGCCTTGACTTCTGTAATGCGCTTTACGTGGGGCTTCCCTTGAAGACGGTCCGGATACTTCAATTGGTTCAAAATAGAGCTGCCAGGTTGCTGATGGGGACGGGGCGTTATGTTCACATGACTCCAGTCCTCCGTCAGCTTCACTGGCTTCCCATTGAAGTCCGGGCCCAATTCAAGGTGTTGGTGATGACCTATAAAGCCCTAAACGGCTTGGGTCCTGGTTACCTGAAGGAGCATTTACATCCATATATGCCCGACCGCCCCTTGAGATCTGCGGGAGAGGCCCTTCTCCGGGAACCCTCCGTGAAAGAAATTAGGAGGGTTGGTACTCAGAGGAGGGCTTTCTCTGCAGTGGCGCCCAATCTATGGAATGCGCTCCCCAGAGAGGTCCGCCTGGCGCTGTCGTTACTTGTTTTTCGGTGCCAGGTGAAGACCTTTTTATTTAAATGTCACTTTAATTGTTAACAATATTTGCTTATTTATCTGGCCAGGGCGACTTCTTTTATATTTTATATTTTTTATTTATTTTATATTGTTAATTTTAATTTTATATTGTTATTTTTGTATTTTATTGTATTTTATTGTGTTTGTAAGCCACCCCGAGGCTTCGGCAAGGGGCGGCATAGAAATATTCTAATAATAATAATAATAATAATAATAATAATAATTTATTCCAAGGCTTTTCTGTACACCTCAGTGCCAAAGGAGGCTGGGTTGGTGGGTACATATGCAGGGCCTTTTATGCAGCAGCACTGAACTATGGAAAACTCCCCAGAATGGACAGGCTGCTTCTATCTCTACTGAGTTTTAGACCAGAAGTAAAACTGCTCTTACGCCAGGACTTTGGTGGATTTTAATACTGTTTTAGGCCTACCTTAAAGAATGATTTTTTCTTCTTTAAGCTCTTGCAGTTTTAGTGTGTTTCTGGTTTATGCCACTTTAAACTTTTAACGTTCTGTATTGTATCTCTCCCCCAGAGGAGCGGTTCATAGCCTGGGGGTGCTCCTCGATCCATCTTGTGTCACTTGAGGCTCAGGTGACCACAGTGGCTTTAGGCCTTCTACCAGCTGCACCCCTGCCTACACTCTGGTAGTCTCTAAATTAGATTAATAAGATGGTTCAGAAGCTGCCACAGGTGCAGAATGTGGCAGCCAAGTTAATAACTGGGACCTCAGGTCTGAACACCTAAGACTAGTTCTGGCCTTCTTGCACTGGCTGCCTGTATGCTTCCAATCCCAATCTATAAAGCCCCACACAGCTTAGGACCACAATACCCATTGAAGTACCTCTCCCATCTACGATCTATTCAGTGGCCTTCCTCCAAGCACTGACTCCGAGGGAAGTGCAGAGGATGGCAACGAGGGGAAGGGCTTTCTCAGTGATCCCCCCCCCGACTCCCATCTGCAGTATAACCTCCCTATGGTGGGCCAGCTGGTGCTGAACCTGTCATCTTTTCAGCAAAAGGTTAAGATGGCCCTCTTTTCGGAGGATTTTAAGGACTTACTTGGCCACCCAAGGGCATGAGGGGGATCAGCAGGTGTTGCAGAGTTTTTAAAAAATATATCATCTGTTTTAGCTGTTTTTAGCTTTTGTCTGATTTATCTTGTATTTTTTTCATTTGTTTTTATGGATTGTGTAACCTGCCCAGAGAAGTTCAACTACAGGGTGGTACAGAAATGAAATAAGTAATAATGATGATGTTGCATTTTAGGGGTTTAATTTTAGTGAACTGTCCAGAGAGCCCTGGCTATTGGCCAATATAGAAATGCAAGAAATCAATCTAATTTGAACTTTGCTTTAACAGCCCTAGTGAGCAAAAAATAGTTTCCATAAAGAACTAATATGATCCCCCCTCTATCCTGCCCTTAACTATTTAGATCCTGGGACAGAAAAGATAGTCCTGTAGTGCTCATACAAGAAAATCACAAAGCTTGCAAAAGAGAAGAAAAAAATAGCGTCGGTTGGAGTGTTCTTTGTAGGACACATGCGGGAAGAGAAAAATGCTGGGATCCTCTCGCCGGTTTAGCAACTGGATTGTGCTCCTGCTTGTAGGATCCCTCTTCTGCTGTTGCGGCGGCGACAGCGTCTCCTCCTCCGCTTTCCCCGCGTCCTCGAGCAGCTTCTCCCAATGTCAAAACCTTGACAAGGTGGCAGCCCTTTTTCCGTGCCAGCTGAACCCCAAAGAGCAAAGGGAGCCCTGCTCCGGGTCCTGTGTCACCAACCCTAAAGAGAATTGGGATCCTACCTGCACTCAGCAGCACTCATTCATTAACACGGATATTTTTTTTAAAGCATGCAATCCTTTCATGCATGTTTCTAATCACACACACGACGTAATACGTTCAATCTGCATTAAAGGAGCCACTGATGTACGTTGCGGCTACAAGGCTATTCAATGCTGGCTTACCTGGGAGCAACCCCCATTGAATTCAGTGGAGCTTTCCTTCAGAGTAGACGTGCCTGAGATCGCGCTACACGTGATCGTAACTGCTCGTTATTAAAGGATCCGGGTTAAGCTTCTTCTGGAAGGAAAAGGAATGGGGGGGGGGAGAAACAGCTTCTCCCGACGGCTTGTGCGGGCAGCTGGTCCTTTGATTTCCGCTTCCCGTCACGTGACTGAAGCCAAGCCAGGCGAATGGCAAGCCAAGGCTGCCCAATCCGTGCACTGAGCGCAGGGATGGGCTAGACGCGCGTTGAGACGCGGGAAAGAAGTGAATCGGACCGAGGGTCTTTTGTAACGGCTTGTTACTGACGTGTACTCTCAAACCCATGTTCCACAGCAAATGGAAGTCACAGATATACTGCCTCTGCTACTGAAGGTGGCATATCTCCATCAGGACTAGTAGCCATTCATGGCCTTCTACAGCATAAATCTGTCCAATCCCGTTTTATAGTTTTTCAAATGTGAAGAAGCTGCCCTTTCCAATCGATCTCCCACCAATAGAACAGGAACAACCTGTTTGGGTTCTAGTATTATCCGAATGGAAAGGAAATTCTTCCTACCCTTCTCCACACCGTGCACTATTTTGTACACCTCTTTTAAGGTTTCCTGGTATGGGAGTTGCTACAGCCCCTTGATAGTGTTACTTGCCCTTCTCTGCGCTTTTTCCAGCTGTACATCCTTTTTAGGTTTAGTGGTGAGAACTTTATACACTGTTCTTAGTGTGCTTGAAACATAGATTTATAGAAACTAGTGTGAGGTTGGCTGATATATTTTAAATTCTTTCTCTCTTTGTGACTAATATGGAGTTTGCCTTTTGCACAACAGCCACACACTGAGTTGTCATTTTCGCCAAGCAGTCCACAACTCCAAGATCTCTTTCTTGGCCAGTCACTGCTAGCTCATATCCCATCAGCATATAACTGAAGTTGAGATTTATGGCTCCATCATTTTGCATTTCCTTACACCCTTTCCATGCACACATTTATATGATACACTCCCATAAGCCTCTATTCAGCCATACATTCTGAGTGCAATGGGATTTATTCTGGGGTCTTGGATGTGTATACCAACTGCAGCCCTTCCAGGGATGTCAGACCACAACTCTCATCAGCCTTAGCCAGCACAGCCAATGGTGAGGATGGCAATCTGGAAGGCCACCAGTTGCCCTCCACCAGCCTTCCCCAACGTGGTGCTCTGGACTACAACTCCCTGCTTTCCTATCAGACATGCCACACATGGCTGAGGGGAGCCGAAGACCCAAAGATCTGAAGGGCCACTAGCAATGCCCCCCTGGACTGGCTCAGCCTCCTCACCACTGCAGCCTGATCGTTCACCCGCCTCTCACTCGGGCCCAGACAACGGTGACGGTGAGGAGGAGTGGCAGTGGCAGATGACATGGCCGTCCTGCTCCCAGGCTCTCCACTTGCCAAGCAAGCCAGCAAGCGCCAGCAATGCGGAGCAGCAGGTGCAGCTGGCGATGGTGGAGTGAAGGAGGACTCGCTGAGGAAAGGGCCCACTAAGCATAACTTGCTCAAATGCCCTGCAGAATCCACAGCCAGTTTTCCTAGCAGAAAATGCTGGCCCAGGAGTAGTTCTGCACCCTGCCCCGGACACGCACATCACACCAGTTGGGATGAGAAGGCGGCACACTGCCACTGTGGGTGGCTGCAATTTTATTGTATTTCAGAATGCAACCTTCCAGTCGACCCTCCTGCAGACAACACACAGAGGAAGAATGATTTATCCGTGCTCAGTGTGGAGACAGAAGGGATCAGGGTGCACCAAAGTTCAAATGCAAAACAATCCAATGCACAGGTGCAGGCTGCCTCTCTCTAGCTCGGCTGCCACAAAGATGAGAAGGATCTCAGGGCTGCCGCTGAACCTGAGCAGGCTGTGAGACACAGCAGTGCAATCTGGCTACCAAAAAGGCAAGGGCAATATGAGGCTGCACTAACAGGACCTTCGTTTCCAAGTCACGGGAAGCAATAGGGGTGTCACTGTTGAAGACAAATGCATGCAGAAATGGTCTGAGAGGAAGGAAGGAAGATGGAAAGAAAATCCAAAGAAAAGGTTGAAAGAACTGGGTGTGTTTAGCCTGGAGGAGGACCCAAGAGCTCTCCTCCAGTTTCCGCCCACAAAGGAAGGCAAAGACTTTTGCTCTGCCATCCCAGAGAGCAGGATCGAATATATTGCCAATCTTATAAACTTGTACACGAGTAACACCACACAACCCAGTCATACAGACTAGTGTTGTACTTGGGAAATGGTCAGAAGGAAAAGATGGGAATAGCTTCCATTTAACTCTGGTGGGCAGGATTCATTAGAGAGAAATTATACCCCAGGAATACGCAAGTGAACTAGCAGAGGGGAATGGGAGGCCGCACAGCTCCGTGTCTTCTCGCAGAGTGGGTGCAATTTCCTGCCAGAATGCCTGGGCCAAGGGCAGACCCTTCTTCCTTGGGCAAGCAAATGTGGCAGTAACAACCCTTTCCAGTGTCGCTATGCTTTGTAACCTATTAGCTAGAGCACGCAAGCACAACTTTCTCAGCCCTGAGGGAGATACCGGGTGCCTGCGGGGGTGTCCAGGCCAGACGTGTGCGCAAACGTGTGCATGCAGACACAACTCTCTTATGCACATCACGTATTCACACTGTGCCTGTCTTGAATGGCTCCTAATACTGAAAAATGTTCAGTTTAAGACAGGGTATGCAATTTGTGCTCTCTTCTTGAGGGTAATGAATCCATCGGGGGTTGGGGGACCTCTCCTGCCCACGCTCACATCCACCTCAAGCTGCTGCTCCCCAGCTCACTCACAACTGTAACCAAGGGAGAATAAGAGCTCTCGCAGCAGGCTGTGTGGTTCCTGCATCTGAGGAAGCCGGCCGAGAGCTCTGAGCAGTGTTTCTTACAACATTTTAGGAATGAGGTCTCTATGGCAGCAATCACAGAGCCCATTTCTACCCCACTGCTCTTTTACTTTTTCAACTGTGCCACATGCTGGATATTTTGGGAAGCTACCCAACAGCATGTGGGGGGGTTCCTTTTGTACCCTAACTAAAGAAAGGCAAAAATGAGGAAAATAATACAGGGCTGGATACTGCCCTGCCCTGCCCTGCCCTGCCCTGCCCTGCCCTGCCCAGGTTTGTACTTTACTTAAGCAGGTTCAGTGGCAACCCTTCTTTGCAAGAGTGCTTGTATTTCAAATTAAAAGCTAAAGGTTGCTTTTCCCGTCGGCCAAGGGAAATCTTCTGTTTAAGCTGAACGTGTTTTTGGCAGAAGCAAGCCATGCTGAGCACAACAGAGCTGACTCCTAGGTAACTACAAGCTGGACAGCGGCCCTGCCGTTCTAATTAGCTGGTTATCTGTGCCATGCCATCATCTCCGATTATGCTTCAAAATTCCCTGCTGTGCCAGGAAGGCACCTCTGTCACAGAGAATCAACAGATGTGCTGGATGCTGGGGAATTGTCTGAAAGGACACAAGTCTATTGTTATCAGGTCTTCTCAAAACTCAGATCTGAGTATTTCTAGAAATCTTCTCAGATGAAGTCCAAGGAACCAGATGCTAATAGTAAATACTTTCACACAGACACACACACACCAGCAAATAGGCATTTTCCCAGTAAATACTCTTGAACTTGATGTACCATGTTGCTGATACATATTTCTGTGATGAAACAGTGGTGAATGATTTGTCGCAGTTGCATGTTTCAAAAAGAGGACTTTAACTTTTATTTTCCATACAACTGCAAAATGGTTGCAAAGTAGCCACTATGAGCAATTCTGGCTAGAAAGAACTGGGCACTGTGGAGTGCTATTTAAAAAAAAAATGCCGGGTCGAATCCGGGCTTGGTAAACCATAAAGATCATCGACCTGTATAAAGGCATTGCTATAAGGTGCAAAAAACAGCACCACTTTCTCAAGTAGCATAACAAAGAAAAGCCTAAAGAACACTGATCATAGGCATGGTACAGTAGACCAGGGCCAGGGCAAAATTACATCTCTAGAGGCCTTGGACTTCAACTCCCAGAAGCCCTTGCTAGTACAGCCCGTGGTCAGGAATACGGGGGGGTTGAAGTCCCAAACATCTGGAGGTGTACATTCTGCCCGCCCCTACAGTAGACAGTAAATGGAAGCACCACCGTCATCTTATCCCCTTTCAATGCTTCGAGAACCGTTTTTTCCTTGAGAAGAGGAACCATGCAAAAGCTGCAGCGGCTTCAACCTTCTGTTCAACCCTTGCGGCCCACCGCTACTTCCACCTAACCTCCCGTCCCCGCTTCCTAAGTAGCTCGTCCTCGTTCGCCGGCTGACTTCTCAGCAAGCGGAGGGTCTTGCTCAACACACGTGGGCTGGGGAAGGGAAGGGGCCGGTATGGTACTTGAATGCAGGGACGCCGCACGTATCCTATCGGTGGGAATAATTGGAGAAGGTTGTGGAGCCACTGCTTGTGCGTTTAATGAGTCCGCGATGCGCTCCAACAGAGTCGTTTGCCTCTCTAGGGCAGCAGTGTACTTCTCCATGCACTTCTGGAGCGCCGCGTCGGAGCCACGCATGGCTGTCGCCATCGTCTGGCTGGACTCCCGTATGCTCCTCGCGATGTGCCTTGCGCACCAGACGGCCACCCTGCGGTCGTCGACCCGCCTCTCCGATTCCTTGCTATCGAGTTCATAAAGAGCCTCTCGGATTTGCTCCCCAGTTTCCCTGGTGGCCTTAATAAGATCTTTGGCCATCTGCGCTCTCTCCGCTTTCCTCTTGTTTCTGAATCTTGCAGCCCTTTGTGCATTGGTCAACGGTGCCTTTTCATCCAGCTCCACAGCAGGAGGGATATAGTCAAAGCACGGCTCCTCCGCTGCACCGGCAGCCCGATCACCACCCACGCGAGCATCCATGTGTCCCACGCCGTCCAGGAGAAAAGAGGCGGGATCTGCATTTTCAAGCACTTTGCCCTCTTGCTCAGCTGTGGAGCAGCAGAAAGAGGCCGGTTAACAGCACAGCAAGCACAGTTGTAAGCCAGAGACATGGACAGCCGGAGGGCTATGTCCGGCGCTGGCAGGGAGCCTGCATACATGCAAGCACACTTGAGTGGGAAGGAGGCTTTAACATCATAGCCACCCCATGCAGCGTATCTTGTGGGGTGGCGGGGAGGAATCGACTTGGGCTTGCTACGAGCCTGAGGCCGCTTCCTCCTCCCACAGCTCTCCCCGTGGGCGCTGCTGCCTTGGTGCTGCAGAAGGTCTGTCAACCTGGACCGATATCGCTGCCCCCGTCTTGCCGTTAGTTGCAGGCAAGCAGCGATACCGACTGGTGAGTGGAATTCCGCGGTGGGCGGCAGCAGGTGGGCCGCCCATCTTTGTCCAGGGGCTGCGTGTGGCCCATGGGTCGCGCAGCTCTGTTCTAAACGAAGGCTCAGTTCCAGTGCTATGCAACGAAGCTAAAGTTTGTGAAACCCACTCACGGTGCCTTACCTAGAGATGGATCCCTGGGCGGCGGCTGCTTCCGATCCAGTCTTTCTCGCACATGGCTGCCATTCCTGAGCCCGTGGATGGTGGAGAACCGGTCCTCAAAAGACTGGAGCAAATCCACAGGAAAGTCATCCTCCCCCTCCCCTCCGCTGCACGGCTCTTCCGACAGCTCTGACAGTGCGTTCGGGTCCACGAGGACCTCGGCTACCTCCGGAGGGTCTCCATCAGCCACGATCTCTCTTATTAGCTTCGTGTCAAAGTCGAGCTCCAAATCCAGGGCTGCCTCACTCTCTTCTTCCTGCTCTTCCTTGCACTGCTTGTACATGGCGCTTGCAACGGTGGCGCCATGCTCGTCCACCACTCGCACCTCCACCGGGGGCAGGCCGCCGGGGAGCCCATTGCCGCTCGAGCTGGGCTGCTCCTCCTGGGGCTCCTCCTCTTCAATTTTGGGAGTGAGCAAAGCGAGGTGCCCTGGGGAATTCAATCTGAGAGGCTTATCCTCGGCTTGCGTCGACGCGCTCCCGCTGGGCTGTGAGAAAAGCTCGTGGTGGTGAAGGGCGGACACCCAGCCGGCCTGAGCAGGACCCAACTTCCCCTGGAGAAGACGGGCCTGCTTTTGAGGAGGCGGCCTGGCTTGGCTCGCCATTGTTAGAGGCTGCCTTGCCAGGCCAGAAGTACCCGGAGCGAGGGGTGAGGCCTGCCGAGCCAGCGCCGCCTGCTTCGGCCATGGGCCCTTATCTGGCGCCCCGCTGCCCACAGCATACCGAGGGGTGCCATCCCTTCTGTGCAGGAGGATCGTGGCTAGCTTATCATAGAAGGGCATGGTGCTGAGTTCCGCTCCGGGGCACTTATTCTGCGTGGTGACCTCCTTAAATTTCTTCTTCAGGGCGTTCATCTTCTCCCGGCACTGGCGAGCCGAGCGGTTGAAGCCTCGCAGGCCCATTTCATTGGAGAGCCAGTTAAAGACTGCCTCGTTATGGTACATATTCCGGAGTTCATTTTGCACCTCCGGGCTGACCCATAAGTCGACAAAGACTCCAATCTCTTCCTTGCTCCAATATTTGGCCCTTTGCCTCTGAGACTCCTGGGTGTCCTTTGCCGAAGCAGCGGGAGATGGCAAGAAAGGGGTCCGGCCTGTTAAAGGGACACAAAGGAGAAGAGGGCGACATGAGAAGCACGTGGCTTTTACACACTCCCACATAGTTATCACACCCCATTAAAAACCTTTAGCCGCTTGCCCATGGCCATTCTGTCCTGAAAGCACCTGAGCTCATCTGATCTTGGCAGCTAAGCAGCTTCAGGCCCAGTTAGTCTCTGGATGGAAGACCACTTGGAAATAACAGTAGGCTCCGAGCCAGGGCTATTAAAATAAGATCGACTTTTGCTTCAGAGCTCTGGCTTCTATAGGTTCTGAGAGACTATGTACACTGATCTATCCAATAACTCAGTACTGGTATCTAATATAAATCATGGAATGTTTCCAGGTAACTCTAGATTTCTATTTGTTTTCATTTCTGTACATATATGCTTTGTATGCTAAGGTCTATTGCTGGTGCAAATAAAGATGGACTTGACTTGAAACCTTCAGCCACCAGCATTAGGATACCGCGGGAAGGATGGTCCCTGTGCTGCATGGGATCCCTAGGAATATGGTTCCCCAGATGCAAGAAGCACTTAAGGGCAAGGGGTCAAACACTGGTGCTGCGCTGCACAGCTGGGTAAGCAGGCTGGGAGTGTCTGATACCAGAACCCAACAGGGTCATTCTAAGAAGCTGCACACTGGGGGAGTCAGGACAGATGAAAGGAAAGCTCTCCTTGCACAGCCCTGGGAACCAAATAGCCACCTTGCGTTCCATGATGGAAGAAAGCTGGGACAGAGGTAACATGCCCGTGTAACCCCACTTAATTGCACTGAACAAGGTGCTTGGGGGAGAGTGGAGAAAGAGGACGTTCCAAACATGTGGTGCCACCACAGAGGAGCTCCTGTCTACTGTCATCACCCACCCCCCTTCAAAGGATGGTAGGGTCCACCGCAAGGCCTCGAGCTCCTAATGCTTGGGAGGGTTCATGTGGGAAAAGGGGGTGCATATAAAAATTGAAAAGGAAATGAACTGAAATAGAAAGTTATGCACAGCAAATATTTCCTCCAAGCAGCATCTCCCCCACGGCTGCGATCAGGTACACTAATGCAGGCAGGAGGGTTAGGGCTGCCGGCAGAGAGACAAGCAGGTTTGAAATATGCAGAGTGGAGGGAACAGCCCTTGGACTTCCTTCTCACATTATTCAAGCAGGGTGGCATCACTGTGGAAAACCCCTTCCTGAGCCCGGAGGAGCCCAGATTCTTGAGCCAGGGGCCAAATCCAGCATACTCGAGGGGACAAATCGGGACCTCCCCCACCATCACCTCCTTTCCTCCCACCCACCACCAATCTTGGTGATTCCTTCTCTGAAGCCCCTGTCTGAAAGGTTCAAAATGTCTCTCCTATTTTATTTATTATATTTATATTCCACCTTTTTTCCTTTCAAGGAACTCAAGGCGACTTCCATAGTTCTCCTCCTCCCATCTGATCCTCACAAGAACCCTGTGAAGTAGGTTGGGCTAAGAGACTGTGACCAGGCCCAAGTCACCCTGTGAGCTCCATGGCTGAGTGGGGGCTAAAACCAGAATCTCTTGTGCCTCAGTCCTGCTCTCTTAACCTCTACACCACACCGGCTCTCCTATGACTCGGCTTCTGGAGAAAGAGCTTTATGCTGAAAGAGGCTGGTCTTTGGGGTATTTTGGTCTTGGCCTTTAGTCCCACCCACCACTCAAACGTGGCCCCCAGAGGTTCTGCACCCAGGCGGGGCGAGAAGCCTTCAGTACTAAGGAAAGAGCCAACGGCAGAGCTTCATCCCCAGGCAGCATCCCTGCCAATCAAATGGGCCAATGCTGGGATGGGAGGAGTCAAAGTACGGCTCCTCCCACACAGCCCCCCCCCCCCCGGTCTTGGTGCCTGGGGGAAGCAGTTCAACAGCGGTTTCCACACCCCTGGAATAAAGCAAGGAAGGGCGCTTTGGGAAGAGGCTGCTGCTCCATACCCAGCGACAGCACATTCTGGTAATTCTCCTGCATGACCTCTTTGTAGAGTGCTCTTTGCGCCCAGTTCAGCAGAGCCCACTCCGCTTCAGAGAAATATATGACCACATCTTCAAATGTCACAGAGCCCTGGAAGACAAAAAAGAGGCGGCACCTCAGGACCTGTTGACATCCTAGCCAGACTCAAAATGTCTTCCTCTTTGAAATTCCCGGCACTTACACTACACAATGAAGAAAAAGCAGGGCTGAAATACTCAGCCAATTTCACCTGCAGATTAATCAATTTGTGCTTCGGAGCACAATACACTCCTGTTGCCCAGAACCTTCTGAACTTGGAAGAATATGGGGATCCTACATGCAGCAGGAGTGCAGAGGGGAAGGCTCCTTCCACAATCCTGCCACTCTGCAAATCGCCTAAATGGCTGATTTTGGTAGCCTAAGTGCAGTGCCACAGAGCTGGACATGGGGAAGCTGAGGCACCCCTGCGACGCACAAGTCCCCCAGCTTGGAGCACGCACCTTCTCCCCTCCCCTCCCCTCCCCTCCCACCAAATGCCCCCCAAAGCCCTCCCCCAAGGTCACCGTTATGATCTTGGACAAGTAACTGGTGCCATTCTTTCTGCACTACCTACAAGGCAGCAAGGGTGATTGGAGCTACGAGGTTGGAGAGATTTTCTGAGCCCACAGCTGGGAATCTAGGCAATCCTGCACGGCTTAGCATCCATAGGATTGTGATCTTGGCCGATTAAGCTGAAAGGGCCCATTTTAAACTGGTAAAGCAGTGAATTAAAGGCACATGTATTTACCAAAAATCCAGGGGGCACTAGGTCATTGAAAGCCACTTCACATAGCACCTTAAACCAGTGCCTATGTGGATACGTTGAGAAATGGTTAAAATGAGAAAACAAAGGCTGCAATTCATGGCATCCTTACTTGCACGGCTTATGGCTTATCTATGCATCAGATTTGTATGCTGCTAAACTGGCAAATGCCCTCAGGGCAGTTTAGAATCATAGAAATAACTACGAAGTACAACAATAACAGTGGCAATATAGCACATTTTAAAATATTAAAAACAACAAGGAGCGGTAATGTAATAATCAAGCAATGGAGTAAAGCTCACACAGCTGCTTAAAGCAGGAAGTCTGATGTCTCAATGCTTTCCCTAATGACATCAGGCTTCTCTGGCTCCAAAATGGCCTTCGGTTTAGAACAAAAAGGCAGCGTTACCCCACAAATTCTGCAAGGGTGCCATCCTGTGCAAGTTTGGACAGAAAAAACAAGGCTCTATCTCCTGGCAAGAAGTGATGACTTTTTTTTTGGCCTAAATAAGCATAGGTTTGCACCTTAAAAACTGAAGTCAACCCAATACATTAAAATCAGTGAAAACATGATGGCTTGGTTTCTGGCATCCCCAAGGGAAACTCCACCACATTTAGGGGTTCTACAGCCCATGCGCTTCCTGCACCTTCAGTCTCTACCCTTCTTCCCAATGCAATGTCTTCTTTACAGTTGCTGCCTCCTTGGGACACAATTGTACAGCCCCCTGGCATGGTCTGGGGCACCCTAAGAGAGCACAGAGACCTGGATGCGATCTTGGAAAAACACCCTTTAAGTGGGAGATGGGACTTGGACCAGGAACAGCCCTTTCCCCAGCCTTGCAGCTGGCACTGTTCTTTCCATTCTGATGAGAGAGGAACTTATTTGGAGTGGTGATGAGGGTGAGGAAGGAAAGGGGCTGGACACTGCCATCCTCCAAGGAATCCTGGCAGTGCCTCACCCTCTCCAGCTCGTGAGAAGGGGAAAATGCTTAGACCGCTGAAATAGAACATCTAAATGCTCTGGAAAGGGCGGGAATGCTTCCCCCACCTTCCATGGGGCACCAAGCTCAGAAGACTACAAGCAGCATCACCGTATGACACCCTAAATTTAATGCAGTGCTACCTCGGCTCACAAACACCGCAACTCACAACTAAATCGGGCCACGAACAAAAATTTCATAAAAATTATGACTCGGGTCACGAACTCCACATTGAGTGGCGACCACAATCGCAGCCATCTCCCCACACCCCCAAGTGGGGAGATGGCCGCAATCATGCTGGGGGCAGGGGGGAAATGGCCAGATTGCGCCCGTCTTTCCTGCAGGAGCGCACCCATGATTGCGCCCGTCTTTCCTGCAGGAGCGCACCCATGATTGCGCCCGTCTTTCCTGCACAAGCGCACCCATGATTGCGCCCGTCTTTCCTGCAGGAGCGCAACTGCGATCTCGGCCATCTCACCCCACAGCACGATCGCACCTGTCTCTCCCCTCCCCAGCGTGCCCACGTTCGCATCCGTCTCCCCCCC